TTTGGGCGGCAACACTGATTTTCTGGTGCTTTGATTGGTTATGTTTTGGATTTTATGAGTTAATCAACCACCCAAGACTAGCTCAAGGTTGTCTTTAGCTCTACTAGTCTTGATCCGCGTGTATGGAATTTGAATTAATACGATGGGCTATTAGTATCGGTAGTTACTGAATTTTGATCCAATATACAATATCGTCCCTGAAATTTGAATTTATACAATGTGGTCCCTGAATTTTGACTCAATGTGTAATATCGTCCCTGAAATTTTAATTAGTTTAATGAAATTTATGAACTATTAATAAATGTTAACTGTATTCCTTCCATTCGTTACATTTTTACATAGTCTAGAGACTAAATTAAACATTTACAAATTGTCCAATGACTACATTAAATAAATTAAAAGTTCAGAAATTACATTACATATTGAGCCAAAATTCAAAGACCATATTATACAAATTAAAAGTTCAAAGACAACATTACACATTGGATCCAAGTTCAATGAACATTTGTGTCATTTTTCCTACCATGATCAACTATTCTCCTCTTTAACACTTTTTAAGAGGTATATGTGGAAGAAAATTGTTTCCTCCATCTTTTATTCTTTCTCAACCTTAGTTGCCGAAAAATTATGAGATTGCAACGGTAAAATTGCGAAATTTGCCTCGCCATTGGCTCTCAACTATTTTGGTAATTAGTCAGACCAAAATTTAGATGTGAGCGTTTGATGGTAATTTAGGGGTGGATAGGGGTTATGATATTCAACTTACGACCAAACTCGGAACAAATTTTATTTCGTGAGGATATTTAGTGGAAAAAATTTCCTCTCATTTTAAAGCTTATGAAAAAATAAGTTTCTATTCTTGGTATTGAACATATATGGATAAAAGTTAGGTTGGTGAAATGGAGAGTATTTTCTTTTAGCAGACCACGACACGGTTGATTTTCAGTGATTAGTTGCAAATTTTTTTTTTCACATCAATGCCGTAACATATTTAGATAGGCCGTTAATCAATCAAAATAAAAGTTAGGTCAATAAATACTAAGCAAAAATTGAGCAAACAAAAATTACCTAGATTTACATCGAGAGTAGAGGTACATTTCGTTGATCTATTCATATATGCAAATTATGAATAACCGAAGATGGCAAAATAGAGTAGGCTAAATTCAAGGTTGGCATAATTGGTTATGGTATTGGGAGATTGATAATTTAAAAATTAGAGCTTGCTCGCTCGAAACAGATTAATTGTGTGCCAATAACTTTGGATCAAATCACCTACACAAGTCAAAAGTCTTAATCAATCAAGATTCATGAGACTTATAAAATTTTTCATCGGTCTCCGAATAATTGTGAACAAACCCGTACGACGGAACCCTCAAATTATTAAAGAAAAAATATTGAGAGCAGGCCTTTTGTATTACCCTTCTAATTGAATTACAAAATTCTTGTAGGTGTTCCTAAATGGAAGACTTGACGTAAACTTCCTGAGATGCTACACCCAAAAACTCTAACCCTAAACCCTGCCAATCACACTTTGAGCATTTGAAGTTTGACATGACAGACGCACATCTCAGATCACATCGCTTGTCATATTTTTTTTGGCAGGGAGAATTATTACTATTAGACAGCTACTAAAAGCTCAATCAATGATTGGTGCAAATGAAAACGCTAAAGACACCGAGGCCACGCAGATCTCTGCTTAATTACAACAAGTCGATAGCCTTATCATTTATAACACGTTATATATATATATATTAAGTATGTGATTTTATTTCCAAATAGATCCTTCTAAAATGTGATTCTCAAAATATATATTTTCTAAAATTAGTTTTCAAGATTATCTACTCATCATTCTCATCCTAGTCACTCCAATTTCTTTCCTAAAGTTGTTACAATGATTTCGAACATTCTGTACACTTCTATGTAGCATTAAACTATTATAACTAATTAAATGATTATTATTAAGCTCACTGACAGTAAAATGTTTTTCAACAAACTCATTGTTAAATAGATGAGAAATGTACTTAGAATTAATTATGTAATCAAATTCATCCGGGTATCATCCATCCGCAAGTGAATGTATAGAAAAATTTTTACACTACCAATTCACCTAATTAAATACATAATTAAACTTGAAAAATAAGTTGCATGGGATTAACCTTATTTAATTTGTCGATTTATTACTCCACAATTTAATCTCTTACTGAGTTTAAATTAAAAAGACTCTGCTAAGGAATTCCCTATGGCACTTCTTAAGTAGTTAAATTAAAGACTCTAAACTGTTTTTGAAACACCATCTTTCTTGTATTATACTCAATCGATACAATAAAAATCCAAGCAGTTTCCTATTAAATATGCACTATTTAAAGAGACCCGAATTAAAAATTAGATAAAAGATATTTTCAAATACATTGTATAGCCTATGTTGAACTACTAATATATGCAAGGCCATACGTACACTATTCACAAAATACGTAATTGAGGATATTAGGTGAAGAAAAAGAGATTGAGATTACTTAAAAGAAGAAGACTCCCTTTGTTTTATATAAGACTAGCAAATGTGTAAGCGCACCAGTTGCTCGTGTACAATAGATTGACATTTGAAAGAATAAACAAAATCACTTTGTTACGAAATTTTTGAATCAATCAATAATGTGGAGAAATTATCGACAAAAGTAAACATTACAAAGAAGTTGTATAAATAATTACAGAAAGAGAAATATTTCAAGATTTAAAATCCTTTTAAGAAGGTTGTTGTAGGATAGAAATATCAGAGTTTCTCTATTAAAAAACGAGAGAGATAGAATAAAATTATAAAGTTACTTCATAGACACTAATTTTCAAAGGATGATATTATAAGTAATTAAGGACATTAGGGAAATAAAAGAACGATTGAGATCCCTCCAAAGTAGGAGCCTTCCTTTGCTTTATCTAATCATGTAAATAGTACAGATTGTGAGTATCTGTATTTTCTTCCTAAAGGGTTAGAAATTCCGAAGAATTATCAATAACCTAATATTACACCAAATGTTTATGCCAAAGCATTGCAATCTGACTGTGACGTTTAATTGAAACAGAGAATTCGTATAAAATCAAGTCAAATTAATTATACTAAAGTTTGACTTATAAATTTGAGAAGTAAAATTTAGTTCAAGAAAATGATATTTGACAAATGAGGGGTGGGAGAGAGCACTAAGAATACATGTCAGCATAAATTATGTGCTAATCTAATTGCCTAAGTTTTATGATTAACATTTAAGTATAAATGACCTTTCAAAAACTGGGGAGAAACAAAGAAGAATGTGTCAAGAGCTCATAAGCAAATAATTTTAGATAGTAGGATGCTCTCTATTTACCTTCAAATTGAACCATGCCACCGATTTTACCAAAAACACCTTTCATATCATGAAAAATCATATGCTAAACTCTTAATTTTCAAATTCCCAAATCCTACGACTCCATTTATTTCGCGAAAAATAACTTGTTTGGAAAATATTTTTCCAAAAAATGATCACTTGTATCGCTTAAAATAATTAGTCAATAAAAAATATTTTCATTATCGACAGCCATTTATATATATGTTTACACATTTTTGTGAACAATAAAAATATTTTCCGTTTATTCACTTTTGTAAGCGACCCAAGTAATTTGCGAGACAAATGGAACCACTCATTGGTCCTCTTGCGACCCTATCCATCCATATGAGAAAGGATAAGCATGTAAAACTGTAAAAGCAAGAGGTTACCTATTCGCTTTCACTACGAAACTGCACACCATGAAATTCCTTTATTATCGTCATCAGGCAACAAGTATCATCCTTACATTATGCGAGGAAATTTCAAATTTTCCTCTCATTCTCTTTAAATTTCTAGCAAATATTTTTTAAGTTATTGAAAGAATAGAAGAATGTTCATCTAATATCTGCTTTCTGGCATGAGAGATTTGTACAAAAATAAAAAAAAATAAAACAATGTAAAGAATTTTTTTCTCCAACCAACGAAAGTTATGAATTTATTATTAATTCATTTTGTTGAAGTAATCGCGCTCATGCGTAGTGCGTACACTAAAACTAATTACTTTTGCGACATATCCATTGAATATTCATTTAATTCATTTAATGATATGCCCCCTACTTTTTTTTTTGGCCCACTTGAGAATTGGCGAAGTAATTGACTGATTTATGACTTAAGAATTTGTATACTTCGAATTTCTCTTTTCTGAAGGGGAAGTCCACCTGAATAGTTAAATATGCAAATTCATGAAATACAACGGTCACTTCCATCAAATAAAATCACAAAAGGTCACTGAATAATCTAAACTCGACGATATAACAATGCTAAAAGTAATCGTCGTTGCATCGCCCTTTTCCACTGTTCCATTGAATAGGCCCATTTTACATCTCAATTAAATTACCATGACTCGATGAGAGACGACTTGTGATAACAATCAAGCAATTCAAAATTGCGAGTTTTTTCTTCGATATAATTAATTCTGAATTTTAACATGCCCCAACGTGTTACCTTTTGATTTGTTATCTCTAGTCTCCAATTTGTGGTCTCTCTAGTATAATGACCCCAAAGTTGCTTTGTGTTTGTCACTTCTTATACTTTTTATTATTACTCGAGCGAATGAACATGGTTCCAAACATAATCGATGTCGCTTTCGTGACCATCCATTTTGTGAGTATAGCTCGCTTTTCCTTCAACCCGATATTTCTTTTGATACGTAATCATATGTAACCGCATCGACGGCACATCGTGCGATAATTCTCTCTTTCTTTCTCTCTCTCTCTCCGTCTAAATTCCTAATTTCCCTTCCACGCTCAGCTACTACCTCCTTCAATTTTCATGTAATCAATTTGGAAATCGACAGGGATTTATCCTTAAAAGGAGTCAAAACAGGCTCCTAATAGAGCCGCTACATCCTTCCGCACCGAAACATGTCCCCTTCCCCCGGGCCACTGCTCCTCCTTCCCATTCCCTCCGCTCTCGCGCACGCAGTCTGAAAAGCTCAAGACTCGGAGAGACGCGACGACGCCTATAAATTTGAGAACCGACCCTCTCCTTCTGCTTTCAAAAAGCATTGCCACTTCTTTTTCTTCTCCTTCCTTCTCCTTCTTCCTCATCTTCATCTCCTTCTTCCCTGCCCCTCCACCAACCAACACAGAGCAACCCCAAGCAATCATTTTCTCTCTCCCTGTCTCGGAGAAACGGAGATGAAAGAGAGAAGCTTTCTGGACTAGTCGTAGCAGATCCTCTCGCTCTCGCGCCTGACTGTTCGTTCATTCCTCCCCCCTGGAAAATCTCGGGCCTCTCCGGTTCAGGGCATGTAAGTGACCCCTCTCTCTCTCTCTCTCTCTCTCTCTCTCTCTCTCTCTCTCTCTCTCTAGATTTCTTTCTTTCTCTCTTTTTCTGTCGTTGATTGATTCTCTCCTACACGCATTGGTTGGTTTGTTTCCTCTTGAGTATGAACATGTTGGAATGTCGACGACCCATCTCCTCTTTTGACTTCCCCATCTCTTCTGTTGCTTCCCGGTTCCCCTGTTTCGCTGCGAATCCCGCAAGTCTTCATCTGTTCTTTGTTTTTTTGTGTAATCACGCTCGGGTCGCTTCGAATCTGCCAAATCTGGGCAATCTCTCCGGCGATGATCGAACGGGGAAATCATTCGCGCGCGGGGGACGTTGATCTGATCAAAGATTGAAGTTTCGGATGTACTCCTCTTCTCCCTTTTCAGAACTCTTTTCATTTTCGTTCTGGAGATGCCCGATCGAGAGAGACAGAGGGAGAGAGAGAGAGAGAGAGAGCGCGCTTCGATGTAATTTAGTTAAAATTAAATAAAAGCTCAAACTTTTTCTTTCGTTGTCTTGACGATTCGATTTCGATCCTGCCACTCTGTTTCTCTCCTCTCTGTAAAGGGTTTTAAACAATTGCTTGCTTAGAGAAAAGGTTGAACCTGGCCTCTTCTCTCTCTCTCTCTCTCTCTCTCTCTCTCTCTCTGAGGACTATTCGTTTAAATTAAAAAGGGTCATGTGGGTTATTCATCTTTTCTTGCTTACAGGCTACGGTCTACGCTCAGAAGCTGTCTCCATTTCCCCTGCAACTTGCCCTTTTATTAAACTCCCCGTTGAACTCTGCATTCGACACTTCTATATCCTCACTCCATTTGTATACACGTCTTCTGTTCACAACTGAAGTTTAAAAATGAGGAGAAAACAAGACAGAAGCGGACCAAATTGATCACTCTTCGATCAGCCCCTACCCTACTTTGTTCTCATTCGACGGTTCCTCGCATTGATTTAAATGCAGTAGAAAATGGAAGATCTTTTCATTCTTTTATGCACAAGATATCCCCGATCGCAATCGTTACGTACATCTTTGGACAAGTTGAACAAGTGATGACGGTCCTCGATTCCCACTGTTTTCTGCTTAAATCTAATTCCCACATCTGATCCTTATCCGTGTAAAATTCTCAGTTGTCTTGGCACATAGCCGAACAGAGACGGGGGAAGAGCAATGAGAGAAGAGGCTCGCGAGATCTCCAAGGTCAGCGGGTCATCTTCGTTTTCCCTCCTCCCACGACGTGTCGGGTTTGCTGAAATTTCGGGAACTCAAATCTTGATTCGATTTTCTCTTCCTTTTCGGGCAGAATTCGTGGCCGAAAGTGGTGGTCAGGAAATGGCTGAACATCAGGAGCGGGGCCGACGAATTCCACTCCGATTACGCCGCAAGAGGTAGCAATCGGGAGTTGATCATCTTATTTTCTTCTTTATTCGTCAATGTTTCACGTGTTGATAGCCATTTGTGGAACTCAGAGAAGAGAGCAGAGAGAAGGAAGAGCTGCTCAGACCAAGGCTGCTATGTGGTCGTGCCCCAAGGATTTTCAGGTAAATTTGCTGAAATGGCAGTGCCCATCTCTTTCGATTGCTTGTACCTTTCTTGGCACTTTTCAAGCTTCTTTAATGGCGGGCCTCTTCCTCCAAGCCGTCAGATTTGCAAGTTTTTTTATGTTTGTTGATTGGACATCGGAGAAACAAAAACGACGATAATAATAAGTCCAGAGGTTGATTTGATTGTCTGCTTTCCTTTTTGCTTGAATTATTCCTTTTTCTGTCAGATTCAATTTTTGCGGGTGATTATTGCTTGAGTTATTTTGCCAGATATATATTTTTTGCAAATATAGTTAGTAGATCTGATTTTTTTTCATGATTATTAAAAATTACTCGAGATAGAATGCGATCTTCGCATGCTATATCTAAGCGTTGAGATATTCGATCTCGAATTGGATTGGATTGGATTAGATTGAGGTGGATGCCGACGGTTAAACTACGACTCTTCCATGGTTTTTATGCTCATTGACCAAACTCTAATTAGCAAACGGTTGTTTAATAACTTTTCTTGCCCTATGATTTGATGGGTCGTTCTTGCGTGACCGAGTCTTTGAACTTTGTAATTGCGACAGAAGGGTGGCTCGTGGAAGCGAGCGATGGCCTTAAAGAGTCTAGCTTCGGCTGCAAATCACCCTGGGTCGCCGATACACTCAACCTAAGGCAAGTCTTTACATAAATCATACTCACTAATCTTTATTTCTATGTCTATTTATCTATTAAAGAGTGGCCTGTGACAACTAATTATGCGAAGGTCTTGCATATATTAGTTAGATATTCAAATTAAAAAGAACGATTAGACGATATTCAGGTCACCAAAATCATTGGGTTTATTTTGGTGGGGTGACAGAAGATGAGAACCAATTTGGAGAAATTATGAATGGAGTAGGGTCGATAGGGTCATGGAAATGGTGTTTGAGGTAATGATTGGGTTTTCATTGGACATATGCATAGGATGTTTGTGGGGACATGGAATGTTGGAGGGAAGTCGCCGCATGATGGCTTGAACTTGAAGGATTGGCTCAAGTCACCTGCTCCTGCTGACATCTATGTTCTTGGGTATGCTCCTCTCTGTCCTCTCCTTCTCTTTTTCTTTTCGAAAATTAGATGTCCTTTTACACCTCGACGTATAAAATTTGAGAGATTTCAAGTGCTAGGTGTTCGATAATGGAACTAATACGCGTGAAATTCACGAAAATGATGAAAATTCAAAAGCCAAATGTCGTAACTTGAGCTTAACTTGCTGCAATTTCGGGCAGTAGCTTCCACCGCACCTGTAATTGTGTTTTTATTGACATATACTTTAGAGTTAGCAGCATTTAAATCAGGCCCAATTACTGAAAGACTGTTATTAAGCTGTTGTGGCTAGCACAACATGTGTGTCCAACAGAAACTTCTGCTTGGGGAGCCATTCACTGAACTAGACATCTCTTTGCTAGTTCTGTTTGCTTTGCCTCCAAAAGCTTGCAGCTTTTCATCTGTGTGTATATAAAAGCTGCAATTTGAGTTCTTGCTTTTCAACAACTTTGTACATTGCCGTGCTTTTAATCATTGTACTTGGTAGGTGTACTCAGTCCCCTTCCAGATTTGGTACAAACCCTAACTCATCCTTTTTCTAAACTCTTTTTATCTTTTTCTTTTCTTGTTGAATTTCTCACCTGTCACCAACCCCCATCAGCAAATAAAAGAATTTTACTAACAAATATTTTTTTTAAAAATACTGATTAAAAAAATTTAAATTAAAAATATGTTTTTGATGACATTTTGTACCACAATGCTTTTGTCATTATGTTAAAATCGAGTAAAGTGTAGTAAGTTTAGAAATACCGGGTAAATCACATTTTTTAATTTTTCGAAAGGCAGTTTCTTTTTTCCTTTTTTTTAACTTAGTCCACTAGAAGTTTAATCAATACAATATGCATCGGTAAAGTAAAATTAAATTTGAGTAAATTTTGCTCGATGATTGTAATTTTTTGGGATAATGACACAAATAGTCCCCGAACTTTGGTCCAATGTGCAATTTGGTCCATGAACTTTTAATTTGTTCAATGTAGTCCTTGAACTTTAAGCTAATGTTCAATATGGTCCCTGAACTTTTAATTTGTTCAATGTCATCCCTGAACTTTTGGTACATATTCAATTCAGTCCCTGAACTATGTGAAAATGTTCAATGTAGTCCCTAAACTTGAATTAATGGAAAGGACTATATTGAACATTTTCATATAGTTCAAAGACTGAATTAAACATGTACCAAAAGTTCAAGGATGACATTGAACAAATTAAAAATTCAGGGACCACATTGCACATTATATTAAAGTTTAGGAACTACATTGAACAAATTAAAAGTTCAGGGATCAAAATGCATATTGGGCCAAAGTTCAGGGACTGTTTGTGTCATTTTCCCTAATTTTTTTTTATAAAAAAAGGCAGCTTTAAACGCGTTTGTCATAGTCTAATGGGGTCTCCGGTTGCATATTCTTCACTAGTGGGTTGGGCTGGGCCACATTTGACGCGACTTCGACATGTTCCACCAGCTCATCATCAACGTGCTCGAACTTAAGTAATTTACCATCTTGCCCACCTGATCGGATGACATGAGATGGTGATGGAATTGAATTGGACTTGCGACCACCATGATCAGGAACATTATTAACTGGTCCATCGTTAGCGACGTGATACAGACGGACTAACCTACTATTAATTGCAGAGAAAATATGTCGGGTTCCCGGCCTTATCCTTTTCTTAATCATCGAATCATCGAGCTATGTGTTGTCCGCCTCATGCATCTCGAGTTTGCACGTAAGGGACCGTAAAAGAACGATGACGTAATACTCGAAACTGATCGAGATGATGGTCATCCTTCCGACTTGTATTGACTTGGGTACTTGATGTGTTCATCGGATCAGGTTCCAAGAAATTGTGCCGCTAAACGCGGGGAATGTGCTAGGAGCGGAGGACAACGGGCCGGCTGCCAAGTGGCTGTCCCTGATTCGCCAGGCATTGAACGGCAACAGGTCATCCCAAGCGGAGTTTTCGGATTCTCCGCAGAGGGAGCTCCTGCAGAGTCTCAAACCGAGGCTCAGCTTCTCGGACTTGCTGTCTCTTGAAGATGAGCTTGACCAAGAGAACTTCGATAGGCTACTGAGTGGCAGCGAAGAAGGCTCACCTAGCCCGCCAAGCACGTCCGGGAGGCACATGAGCCCGGTTCGCCGGCGTTATTGCCTCGCCGCGAGCAAGCAGATGGTGGGGATATTTTTGTGCGTGTGGGTTAGGGAAGATCTAAGGAGCCACGTTAGCAATTTGAAGGTGTCGTGCGTGGGGCGAGGAATCATGGGTTATCTTGGAAATAAGGTCAGCATTATCAGCTAATAGTTGATTAATTTCATCTGCTAAACCCTTTTCTTTACAGGCATTTTAATTGAATTTCACATGATTGTAACGTGGAGAACTTGAAGATGTTGATGCATTCTTTTAGTGGGTTTTACCATTTCTGAATTTGCTTAGTCTAATTTGTTTGAGATGATTGCCCTAATTAGTCATGATTTAATTGGCCCTTTGATCATCAGACCAGTTTTATGTGGTCAAGTAATTGTCGCGTGTCATCCACACTAGAAAAACTTATTTATTTTATTTTATTTTTCATCATGTGAAATCTGCGCTAATAGCTCAAAATAGATGCATGCATGCTATTTAGAATATCACACGCAGTTTAAGAAGATTTATTTCTTTGATGGGGAATAGTAATTTGTTCGACTAGATGCGAGTTTGGGGACAAAAGTAGCGATTTTGTTTGATAGTCGCGATCCTTAGGTTAATGATCTTGAGATTTCGGGAATAATCTAGATTTTCTTGCCCCTTCTTTGTTTCATTGATCTAGGGTTCAATCTCCATAAGTATGACCTTGCACCAGACCACCTTCTGCTTTGTGTGTACACACTTGACCTCCGGGGAGAAAGAAGGCGACGAAGTGAAGAGGAACTCGGACGTGATGGAGATACTAAGGAAGACGAAGTTCTCTAATTCCTCTCGACTACTAGGGCCATCTTTTTCGCCTGATAGCATTCTTGATCACGAGTAAGTTCTGTACTTGTCTTCGCGCCTCTCTCGGAACATATTTAGGACGTAGCTAATGGTATTTAATGGAAATTTTCGTTGTTTCATGTAGCAAAATCATTTGGCTAGGCGATTTGAACTATCGGCTAGCTTCAAGCTGCAGCGACATGCACGAACTTCTCTGGAGGAACGATTGGCAAGCACTTTTGGAGAAAGACCAGGTACTACACTAAGCTCAAATCAGTTTTAAACATAGTCTTCCAAACTCAACATAATCGAAATCGATTTTCTTTTTCACTTCTTTATGGTGAAAAATCCTCTGGTCTCAATGGCTGGTTCATGTTCAATGTGTTTTGGCAGCTAAAAATAGAACAAAGGGCAGGTAGAGTATTCAAAGGGTGGGAAGAAGGGAATATATATTTCGCTCCGACGTACAAGTACCTCGTCAACTCCGACCATTATGCCGTTCAGAACTCCAAATCTAAAGAAAAGCGTCGCACACCGGCCTGGTAATTGAATCTTTCTTCTAATCGAGTCTTGTTTTTTTTTTTTTTTTTTTCGGTATATCAAGGTCCCTCTCACCGTCTTTGAGCGGCGTGACGTTATGTACAAGCTCTCTCCTTCCTGATAACTATAGAACACTGTGATATCAATCCGTTTTACATGTGGAACTAGTTGAATACTTAATGGCACGCGCCTTTTTCTTAAATCATTTTTTAAGCGTGGTAAACAGACATACGACTCCTTCGCTCCCCCTTTCGTTGCTGAAAGAGAGTTCGTTTCTTCGACCACTGCATGAATTGGTCAACCATGAATATTCCATAGCAAACAACTTTTGGACCGAGAGAGAGAGAGAGAGAGATTTTTAATATAATCTGACACGGCATTAACGTGGAATAGAAGAAAAATCGGCGCGCAGGTTGTTGTAGCCGACGCAGAAAACACACGTGGTTGCTGTCATTATAGCAAGCCGATGTTTCTAGGTTTATTCTAGTAATTTTAGCGGGTCTTACTTCAGCTGCAATTTTACTAGATTTATTCAAAAGGGTCGGCCAGCAACAGTCATATCTTCACTTTAGTTTAAGCAAAATATTAATTGAGGATAAAATATATTCCTGCCGACCATCTGTTATTATATTTCTACTTTATGGTCCACTACTGAGAATCCTTATCTGATAATTCTTTTATTGCTACTGTTGCTTTAGTTTTTCGTGAAGCAGTAAAGAAAAGTTGATTCTGTATACCTTCGAGGAAGTTGTTTACATACCTTAATACAAGATGTGGAAGCACTCGTGGTTCATTAATTTGCATGTGATTCTTTCTTTTTGGTGGGACGATTCACCGACTCTGTGGACCTTGTTTGAATTGAAAAATGGCAGGTGTGACAGAATATTGTGGAGAGGCGATGGGCTGAAGCAGATATGGTATTTGAGAGGAGAGTCCAGATTCTCGGACCACAGGCCTGTTTACTCGCTCTTCTCGGTCCAAGTGGACGTCCCGAACCGGCCCAACCGGCCCACTGTCGCCCCCACGGCCGGCCTGCTTCGGCCCCTGCCTGCTTCGTGCGTGGCCAAAGTACAAGCGGAAGAGATGCTCCTCATCACCAGAGCTCAGAGCTGCATCTCTTCTGCTCCCAGATTTTGAAAACCCTCCTTCTAAAACTCCCTTTGAAAATCTTGGGAGACCGAAGGTTCTAGTCCATTCCAACCGTGTCAACAGGCTCTTGAATGAATTGTAGTCTGTTATCTGGGAATCGGATTACTTGTTTATTTTCACGACCTTCAGATCGGGTGAGACTCACTATATTCAAGGCCAGGATTAGTGCAGGTCAGTGGACTAAATCAAGTAACTTTCGTTGCAAGTTGGAGTGATGGACACTATCGGAAAACCATGTGGCGGGTGTGTGATAAGGTACATAGTTCCAATACATAGCAAGGCATTGATTCAATCTACCATATCATCGGCAGATTGGAAGTGTCTTACCACCCTAGCAGACTTGCTTGATGAGGAATTACAAAAATGGTCATGCGTTTCCATCTTTTTTCATTTGGTGATGGAACCAGGAAGAACAGTTTTGGGTGAAGTGGTTATTGAAGACTCGGATTTTCGAGAGGAATATTTTGGATTCAGACTGTATATACAAGTGTGCAAGATGATGATTCATTTGTTTTTACTGAAGAACAAGCAAGAAAGGAACTTCTTTTCCTTGACGCTAAGACAAGGACTTCAATTTTGAAATATGTCCTCCTCAATTTGTTAGGAAGCAGCGAAGGCTAGTTATTGTGTTTTTCTAATCCCCTTTTCTCATATACATCTCAATGTAAAGGATTGTGGGCAGCTTTCTTTCTTGAGTTTTTTTAAGAGTTTGTGTATAGGAAGAGGAAGTTCATACAGCTGCCTGCATATGATCAATGCAGCAAGACTTAATGCCAGATCTGGTGATCCTTCTAAGGATAATGAATGATAATGATTAGCACTACTTCGATAAGGTAAAGATGTGTTTGTATCCATGTATTGGTTTCCCCTTTCTAAAGCACTAGAATCATAAAGGTCAATGCATTGAAAAAATGCTCCATTAAAATTAATGATTAATATCACGAAAAACTTCAAACTGATACATTCGTGATAAATTTGCCCTTGATTAATTTATTGACCATCAAAAACTCCAAACTTATACACATGTGATAAATTTACTCAAAACTAATTTTTTTACCGCCAAAAATCCAAAACTGATATATTTGTGACAAATTTACCCTCCGTTAAATTGGATTAATACCATGAAAAATCATAAATTAGTAAATTTGTGACAAACACAAGGTCAAAATCCTAAACTGCTATACCTGTCATCTGCCACATGTCATCCAACTCAACAATTTAACAGTAAAATTGAACGGAAACTAATATAAGATAAATTTGTCATCGGTGTACTAGTTTGGGATTTTTGGTGGTCAGTCTAGGGTAAATTTGTTATAAATGTATCAGTTTGGAGTTTTTTTGTAGTATTAACTCTAAAAGTGTTCTTGGTTTTTGTGTGATGCCTCTTTGAGGCGTTGTTGAGTGTTTATATAAAAGTGAGTTTGTTTCACAGAAAATGTAACATTTCTGAAAAATATTTTTTTAAAAGTCAGTTTTCTGGAAATGACAATACTTTCCTATATATATATGAGCAGGTTTCCCTTACCAAATGACAAAAAAGTTTTTCCATTGTCAAATTATATATATATATATATATATATATATATATATATATATATATATATATTATATAGAGAATGGATACACATTCTATCGTCAAATTATTTTTCGAGTGATGAAGACCCCAGCTCGAGCGTTCGGGACTAAGCCCCGGCCTCGGTGACTTGGGCCCGACCGCCAAGGTCATGGTTGTAGGAGCCGTTTGTTTGTCGGACCCAGCCACTAGGAACTAAAGTTAGGCGCCGAGTATCTTGACCAATGCAATGTCTGCTATAGATTAATAATCGCTATTATATAATCTAAAGTTAAAATTGTATCTTCCTTGTCCAATAACAATTTAAAGTTAACTAGTAACTTGGATCATAGTTTTTCTTCCTTCATTAATCTTTGGGAAAATTTCAAATCAGTATCCAAAGTTGGTTCATTTTTATAAAAAAAAAATTCAAAGTGGACATAGTATCAAATAAGGGCCTGAAGTACCCAATCAATCTCAAATAGGGGCTCGAAATGCCCAATTAATCTCAAGTAAGGGCCTGAGTTCACCAGCCGGTCAAATGCTCACCGAACGGCAAACATGTCACTGTTTCGGTGACTGGAATAAGAGTAATTTCGTCTTTTACTTTTTAAATTTTTTTTTGTTTCTTTTTTCCTTTTTCTGTTTTTTTCTTTTCCTTTCCCTTTTCTTCTTCTTTTTTTTTCCTCTTTTCCCTTCACCGGCCATAGGTAGGGCCGGCGGAGGTTGCCGGCGAAGGTTACCGGCCTCGGGCGGAGGTTGCCCTCGCTGGCATCGGGCGAGGGTAAACAACCCTCGCCCGCCCAGCCCAGGCGAGGGCAGCCCTCTCCCAACGCCGGCAAGGGCGACCCAGGGTCGGGCGAGGGCCGCCCTCGCCTGGGCTGGGCGAGAGCAAGGGTCGTTTACTCTCGGCTGGATCCAGGCGAGGGTCGCCTCGCCCGCCCGGCCCAGAGGCGAGGCGCCTCGCCCGACGCCGGCAAGGGCAGCCCAACCCCGGGTCACCCTCATCGGTGTTGGGCGAGGGCCGCCCTCGCCTGGGCTGGGCGGGCGAGGGCAACCCTCGCCAGATTCGGCGAGAGCAAGGGTTGCTCTCGCCCGCCCAGCCCGGGCGAGGGCGACCCAACGCCGGCAAGGGCAGCCCTCGCCCGACGCCGGCGAGGGCAGCCTCCGCCCAAGGCCGGCAACCTTCGCCGGCCCCGGCTATGGCCGGCGGAGGGAAAAGAGGAAAAAAAAAACAGAAAAAGAAAAGATAAAGGAACAGAAAAATTTAAAAAGTAAAAGACGAAATTACCATTATTCCGATCATCGGAACAGTGATGTGTTTGCCGGCCGGTGATCATTTGATCGGCCGGTGAACTCAGGCCCTTACTTGAGACTAATTGGGCACTTCCTGCCCTTATTTGGCACTATATCCACTTTGGACTTTTTTTTGAGAAAATGACCCCACTTTGGGTACTAATTTGAAATTTTCCCTTAATCTTTCAATCTATTTTCTTATAAACGCTCGCGTGCATTTTGTTTATTAGTATGCATAAATTAAAGTTTTCAATGTTTCTTTTGGTCGAAAGGAAATGTTTCTTTCATATCTCGAGATTTCAAGATGATACATGAGAAATTCAAAACAAAACAAATCACAAACAACAAAGTAAACTAATAAAGCACAAACTGTTGTGATAAGCATATTCTCATCTGACGTAGCGTTCAGCGAGTAATTCAAGCAAAACCTTGCTTAGAGAAAGAAATCTTGAAATTCAATATTGATGATAATGTTCTGAATGTCAAAACAAACCCTTAAACAAGCTTATATACCTATAACATAACCTTACTAAAATTGGAAAGCGTAAAACATCAAAATTAGGAAATTGCCTTTTTTTAAATTATAACCCTACTAAAATTGGAAAGCGTAAAACATCAAAATTAGGAAACTGCCTTTTTAAATTAACTCATAAAAAATATTAAAATAATAAAAAAACCTATCTAAACGATCTCGAATCGCCAAAATCCATCGTAGGTCACAGCCAAAGGCAGTGAGTTGTGTTCAGAACGTCGTTTCGCTTCAACAGACCGAATTTGAGCTCGATCCGATGTCTTTGATCGGGTCCGCCGGTTCTAATCGCATCACCGTTTCGCCTTCCGTTTGGACTTCTGCCTGTCCAATCGGTCCAGAAACGCACCACTAATAGATTCCGCATCATTCTCCTCCACTTGAAAAGAACTCGTTCTCGAGTTAAAATCAGAATCTGGATATAACGGCTCTGTGGACTCATGAAACGGTGACAAATCAGCAACATTAAAAGTGTTGGATATGCCTATGCTATGTGGAAGGTCTATAACATAAGCATTATCGTTGATCTTCTTGTTGACAGTGTAAGGCCCATACTTCTTTTGCTGCAATTTACTATAAGATCCAACTGATAATCGCTCTTTACGAAGAAAAACCATGACCTGATCACCTACCGCAAATACCTGCTTCCGCTTGTGCTTATCTACTGCAGCTTTATACTTCTGATTAGCTTCCTCCAGCTTCTGTTTGACTTCATGATGCACCTCCACAATCTGTTTAGCCATATGATCCACTGTTATACTTTTATCCGCTTGCTTAGGCAACTGTACCAAATCCAGAGCATGCTAAGGCGCCTTTGTATAAACAACAAAAAAATGCGACTTGCCAATAGAACTATGAACTGCATTATTATAAGCAAACTCTGCTTGTGATAAAGCAACATCCCATTGCTTCGGCTTATCTCCACAAATGCTTCGAATCAAGTTTCCCAGAGTTCTATTAACCACCTTTGTTTGCCCATTAGTCTGCGGGTGAGCAGTGCTACTGAAATTCAAAGATGAATCAAACAGCTTCCATAAAGTCCGCCAAAAATGCCCTAGAAATTTACTATCCCTATCTGAGGTAATAGACTTGGGCACACCATGCAAACAAACCACTTCCTTAAAGAATAATCTGGCCACACTTACTGTATCAGAAGTTTTCCTACAAGGAATGAAGTGCGCCATCTTGGAAAATCTGTCAACCACAACGAAAACAGAATTCACGCCTCTTTGTGTCCGTGGTAAACCAAGCACAAAATCCATGGACAGATCTTCCCATATATTGTCAGGAACAGGTAATGGCATATATAAACCTGTATTATTAGATTTCCCCTTAGCAGTCTGGCAAACATAACACTTTTGTACGTACCTGCTGACATCTCTACGCAACTGGGGCCAGTAAAATCGCTCCCGGACTGCAGCAATAGTTTTATCACGATCCAGGTGTGCAGCTAATCCTCCATCATGTAAATCACGAATTACCTTCTCTGGTAATGATGTTCAAGGAAGGCAAAGCTGGTTGCTACACATCAAATAGTCATCCTGCACATAAAATTCTTGCACAGGTTGACCAGAAGCACATGACTTCCAAATTTGCCCAAAGTCATCATCATCTGCATAACAATCTTTCAACTGCTCAAACCCCAAGATGTCTTGGCTTACTGTAATCAACAAGCCAGCTCTCCTACTCAATGCATCTGCTACGACATTATGCACACCTGACTTGTGCTGTAATCTGAAAGGAAATTTTTGCAAAAATTGACACCATCGCGCATGCATATCTTTGCTAATCCTCTTCTGACTATTTAGATACTTCAAAGCTTCATGATTAGAATAAAGGACGAATTCTTTCCCAATTAAATAATGCTCCGAGGTCTTCAAAGCCCTTACAATAGAATAAATTTTTTTGTCATAAGTGCTCCACTTTTGTCTTGCCTCGCTAAGCTTCTCACTGACATAGCAAATTGGTCTGCGCTCTTGAGATAAAACAGCTCCTATACCAACTCCACTAGCATCACAGTCCACTTCAAAAAGTTTATCAAAATCAGGTAAGGCAAGAACAGGTGCAGTACATAACTTTTCCTTCAGAATAGCAAAACTATTCTCTGCTTCCTCTCCCCATAGAAATTTGTCTTTCTTCATACATTCAGTAATCGGGGCTGCGATAGTACTGAAATTCTTAATAAATCGCCGATAGAAAGTAGCCAACCCATGAAAACTCCTAACGTCAGAAACTGTTTTAGGTGTCGACCACTCTCTGATTGCTCTTACCTTCGCCTCATCTACCTCTATTCCTTCAGCAGTAATAATAAACCCCAGAAATAACAGCTTATTAGTTAAAAAACTGCACTTCTTAAGATTAATATACAGCTTATTAATCTGCAAAGCTGTCAATACCTCCCTTAAGTGTAATAGATGATCCTCCTCGGTCTTACTATAAATCAGGA